CTTGCAGTGAGCTGAGATCCGGCCACTGCACTCCAGCCTGGGTGACGGAGCGAGACTCCGTCTCAAAAAAAAAAAAAAAAAAAAAAAAAAAAAAAAAAAGAATCACAGCCAATACTGACACATTGTTGTTGACTAAGGCTCACACTTGATTCCTATTGCCTCAGTTTCACTTGCTGTCCTTTTCCTGTCCCAGGAGCCCATCCCGGACCCCACAGCACACTCCGTCCTCAGGTCTCAGGCTCCTCTCGGCTTCCCTCGTGTTCGATGACCGTGGCAGTTGTGAGGAGCGCTGGCAGGTCTTTTGGAGTGTGTCCCTCTGTTGGGATTGGTCTGATATCTTTCTCTTGGTTAGACAGGGGATATGGGTTTTGGGAGGAAGACCGCAGAGTTGAAGTCCCATCCTCATCCCGGCCTGTCAAGGACGTATGCTCTCCACCTGCCAGGTCACGGGTGGGGCTGGCCTGGGCCACCTGACTGACTCAGAGCCTGTCAGGTTTCTCCACCGTGAAGTCCCCCTGTTCACATGGTGCCGTTTGTGGAGAAGTCACGATTTGCAGCCCCCAAGGAAGAAGTGGGGGGTTAGGTTCCCCCTCCCTAGGGGCAGAGTGTCTGCAAAAATTATGTAGAATTTTTCTGCAAAGGAGACTTGTCTCCTCCCCCGTTTATTTGTTTGTTCAATGATGTGTCTATAGCAGCGTGAATTTACAGATGTTTATACTTTGTTGGTGGTGGTAGTTTTTTTTTTTTTTTTGAGATGGAGTCTAGCTCTGTTACCCAGGCTGGGGTGCAGTGGCATGATCTTGACTCACTGCAACGTCCACCTCCCAGGTTCAAGCAATTCTCCTGCTTCAGCCTCCCGAGTAGCTGGAACAACAGGTGCATGCCGCCATGCCCAGGTAATTTTTGTATTTTCAGTAGAGACGGAGTTTCACTGTGTTGACCAGATGGTCTTGATCTCTTGACCTCGTGATCCACCTGCCTTGGCCTCCCAAAGTGCTGGGATTACAGGCCTGAGCCACCGCGCCCGGCCTGTTGTTGTATTTTTGAGATGGAGTCTTACTCTGTCACCCAGACTGGAGTGCAGTGGCACGATCTTGGCACACTGCAACCTCCGTCTCCTGGGTTCAAGTGATTCTCCAGCCTCAGCCTCCTGTGTAGCTGGGCTTACAGGCGCTGGTCACCACAGTAAGCTAATATTTGTATTTTTAGTAGAGATGGTGGTTCACCACGTTGACCAGCCTGGTCTTGAACTCCTGACCTCAAGTGATCCACCCGCCTCAGCTTCCTGAAGTGCTGGTATTACAGGTGTGAGCCACTGTGCCTGACTGGGTGTTTATAGTTTGGATTAGAATCCGGAGCTACGGGGGCTCTTGTGGTCTGCTGGGCTCCCCCGACATGCTTCCATCAGTGTGTGTGAG